TTTTCAAAAGTTCAAAGGAATTTTATCACAAGATCAGAATGATTATCTTCATAAGAATCTCGGCCTTCCTAAAGAGAAAATAAGAAGTTGAAACTGCCATAACTTTGAGAAATTGTTAGAAATTTTATTGGATTTTTCTCAATCTTTTCTTCGATGATCTTCTCAAATGGTAAAAGTCATCTATTTATACAAACTAAAGTGACCTTTCAGATGCTTGATCTTTCAGAAATCATATAGTAAAATGACTCTCGGTCAAAGGTAATAGACAACCTTTCAAGGACTCAAAAGACAAACAGCCTTTCAGAAAAATAAAAGACAAATGACCCTTTAGAAAGGTAAAAGTTACAGACAACCTTTATTGCTAGAACCTATTATTGTCTAAATATTCCAAATCCACTGGTAGTCTTCATCAGGGGTATTCGAGGGAGTGGTATCAGGATCAGTGATGTACAACTCAATATGATACTCATGTGCTTCTCGATTTTTCCTTTTATTCAACTGTTTTCTTCTTCTGATCTTGTTTTATGAACATAAAAAGATGAAGAGGGTCCAGCTTCTGATTGGCTTGTCTCATATGTCTCATACTATCTTAGATCTTGATTATGAGGAAGTTCAGAGATATATATTTTAGAAAAACAGATGCATTCCACCTGAGATTTGGCCAAAAGACATTATGGTTCATGGAACTATGAAACTAGTCATCTTCATTGGACTAAAGTTAAAAAGGCAATCAGAAGTTGGACCCTCTTCATCTTCTTATGTTCATAAAACAAGATCAAAAGAAAAAAGACAATTGAATAAAAGGAAAAATTGAGAAGCACATGAGTTGAGCTGTACAACATCACTGATCCTGACACCACTCCCTCGGATACCCCTGATGAAAACTACCAGTGGATTTGGGACGTTTAGACAATAATAGGTCCTAATAATAAAGGTTGTCTGTAACTTTATCTGTAACCTTTACTTTTCTAAAAGGTCATTTGTCTTTTATTTTTCTGAAAGGTTGTTTGTCTTTTGAATTCTTGAAAGGTTGTCTATTACCTTTCACCAAAAGTCATTTTACTATTTGATTTCTGAAAGGTCAAGTGTCCAAAAGGTTACTTTAGTTTGTATAAATAGATGACTCTTACCATTTGGAAGGATCATCGAAGAAAAGATTGAGAAACCCAATAAAATTTCTAACAATTTCCCAAAGTTATGGTGGCTTAAACTTTTTATTTTCCCTTTAACAAGGCCGAGATCCTTATGAAGGTAATCACTATGATCTTTTGATAAAAGTCTCTTGAACTTTTGAAAGTTCAAGAGAGAGAGGCTATTGTGTTTGAGAATACCTTTAAAATTTAGAGTTGGCTACTCTGAGTTTGGTATCAGAGCCATACCTAAAAGGAAAATTTCTCATCCAAATTTTCAATATTAAAATTTCTTTCTATACTTTTTATAGGTTCATGACACCACTTTGATCCACATTCAGGAAATTAATATAATTATGTTTTTAATGATGTTTGTAGAGGTTCTCCATGTTTTATGTTTGAATATTATAATAAGCGAGAATATATAGATTACATAAGAGTACTTAAGTTAGAAAGTTTTAATTTACTAGATTATTTGCATTCTAAATCATACCAGATAGTTAGAAGACAGGTATATATATATATATATATATATGTTATGGTATCGTATTTATAAGATAAATGGTGAGAAAGATTTTAATAAATTAAAAATATGAGTTCTTTTATTTCTAAAATGAGTGATTCTACTTCCAGTAAACTTATATTAAATAGAACTAATAGTAATAAATTCGATTATTTGTATGAAGTGTCTGTTGAACCAGAGATGGTTAATCCTACCTCTTTGCATGTTATTAATCCATATACTACATTTGGCAAACAACAATTCTCACCTATCAGGGCTATCAAATCCCTGATCAAGCATTATCCCAAGGGCATAAAAGAATATATTCAGGCTTCAAAAGTGGATCAACATCTTATCCTTGTTACTAAGAAGGAATAGTTCATTACTCTCTAAATTCCTCCAGAATTTCCTTCTCAATGGAAGCAATAAGGATTTACTCATATTCATTTTGGTGCAATTAGATTCTTTTTATCCTTTCATAGTAGAAAGGAGCTACCAATGGTGGCTCGCATAGCCTTGTTTGACACCAGATTCACAAAATACCAGCATGCTTGTATAGCAACCGTAGAAACTACTCTAAATGTTGGAACTGTTTTTGTGACTCTTTTCTCCAATTTTAACATGTCTCTGTCAGATCCCCATTTGCTTGATGCTCTTAAAGTCCAGGTACAAATCATAGGAGCAGACCAGATGACAGATGCTATTGCTGCAACCCTCCACTATCAGATGGTTTATCGTATCCAAAATCATATTCTGGATCTCACAATTCCTGGTGGAGAAGATGCTCTTTTTATCCGTATTAATGAGAAGAATTCAGCCTCTTATACCCATATGCCAAGACAAATTTCAAAATTAGAATTAATTCAATTGTTACCAGACAATTGGATTACTGATTATGAGTCCCTGCATTCTCAAGCAAATGAACCTATTGAGTTTTGAAACTCAAAAATCTCTCAGACACAAGAAGGGAGAATTTCAATTACTTTTGATCATTCCCATTTAAAACCAAATTCAAAAAAATCTTATCCTACTATGATGTTTGCACAGGTTTCCATGGAGACACTAACTGAAGAAGAAATAGCTCTTGAAAGATATGATGAAAACTGAGAAAAAGGTTTTGCCCAAAATATTATTGCTCATTTCACTAAGGAAAGTGAACCAGTATGTCATTTTCAAGATCCTATTTCTGGACATATTTATTTTGATATATGTACTAAATGTGATGACTGTTGGTGGGAATATCATTTTGATGATGATTATCCATTACCTTCAAAAGGGAAGAAAAAGACAAAGTCATGTGAGGAAAGACCCTGTAAACCAGATCTTGAACCACAGGACCCTGATACTGACAACTTCATGTCAGAAAGAAATGGCTTTGATGGATATCAAATTCCGTCCTTTTAGATTTTTAAGAAACCACAAACTCCCAAGCAGAAACTCCATCCATACTATCAGAAGTGTTTGGCGATCTTGAAAAAGGAAATCAAGAAAGAAAAAAATGTATAGAAACCATTTACAAAATGTGTATTTTATCACCTTCATGCTAGTGGCTAGGCTAGCGATATGTCTTAATCGACTGAGCAACCAATGAGCTATGTTGAATGTCATATTGTCTACATTGGTTCATAACCTACCAACTGGGCAGGAGTTTGTACATTTATTGGGTCAAAAGTGATAGGCATTTTTGAAATGGATTAATGTACTAAACCTCCTTGAGACTTTTGCCTTCAATTGCACTTTAACTTCCCTAAACTCATTAAATAGGTACTTTACTTTCCTGCTTGATGTTTTAGAATAAAAGTGCCCTTACTATATTATTTTAATTTTCTCCTTATTTATTCATCCTTTATTTTTCTTTTTTGATATTTTATTTTTCTTTTTATTTTTTCACTTCTCGAATGTCACTATTTTTTTTTTTACTTTCCTATTAGTATTACTGATTGTATGCTTATTATAACATTTTAGTATTCTTTTATTTACAATTTCGTTCTCATTTTAGTTTACATATGTATTCACTAATAGGAAATTCATGATTTTGTACTATATAACTATCATAGTCAAAAGCATGGATAACTAGAGATAGCAATTTCTGACACGACCTGAAAACACGACACGAATCCAACACGAAATTAATGGGTTTTGGTTGAAATTTCGCAAGTTCGGGTTGAACTCGATGAACCCGAAAAGAAAACGGGTCGAATTCGGATCAACCCGTGGGTGATCCGATATGACCTGATAACCCGTTTACAAATTAAAAATTATTTAATAAACATAAAAATTATTTTATCTAACAAGACTAAGGTATTCTTTTTTTCCAAAGACATTAATCACTTAATCTTAAATAAATTTATTTAACTTGTGTGAAATTGAAATTATTATATTTAGACAAATAATGTATTATATTATTTTTTACTTTTATACTGTTTTAATTTATTTTATATTTGGTTTGGGATAAAACATTTTTATGGTGTTTCAATTTATTTTAAATTTGATTTGAAATTATTTATTTAAAATTTTATTACTTAATTATGTAATTAGTCTTGTGTGAAATTGGTTTTATTAGAAATTACACTGATAAATTAATAAATTAAAATTAAATTTCAGATAGACCTGCCAACCCAAAATTTTCGAGTTCGGGTCAGATATCCTGACCCATTTTGGATTGACGGATCAGATTCGGGTCAACGGATTTCTATTATACCGGGGTCTCAACCCGACCCGCCAACCCAATTTGGACCCAATTGTCACCCCTATGGATAACCAGAAATTTAACAATTTAAACAGATATTAGCAAACTAGAATTTTTGATTAGTTAATATTTAAAAGTATATACCAAATTAACAAAGTAACTAACATTCTTCTTTCTATTTTTATTTTGAATAGTTGATTAAATATTATGTGACTACCATTTGCTTCTTTGTTAGTTTTCCTTGGGGAGAATATATTTTTAACATTTAAGATATAGCATACACAATTCACTATAGACTAGCATTTGTATTTCGGATTAAAGAAACTATAAATTCATAAGAGATGGAGAAAGGTCCTAAAATCTCATATTCGACTCCCAAACTCTTTGTTTTCATTTTTTCTTGTAAGGTGTAGATTCTCCTCTTAAAAAAATAAATTAAAGAGTTTGAGAGTGAAACTAGACCCGATTAGACCCGTTTACATTCATTTTGTTCGAAAGATCGGATATCTGATCTCACTTTCGGCCCAGGTGGTGAAAGCGCCAATTCAGACGGTTTAGATAAGTGACAGGGGATGAGTAATGACTGATGACCTCGTTTGCGTCTGCTTCTCCTTGTCAAGTCTAGCGAGTCCATGAGAAGTGGAAATCTATGCACATGGCTGGGTTAAAACCTAAAAGCTATAAAGGGTCCATCAGCCCAAAGTTTATTTAAAGACAAAACATAAACAATGGCTGTGAAATATCTTCACCTGTAACTGTTAAGCAAAAGCCAGGATTTAGTGATTCAAGCCTTTTACACTAGAGAGCGAATAATTGAGGAATGTGCCATGTATACTAATCTCTAAGCACTAACAACATCCTTCTTCCTCACAAACTGGACAGAATGATTTACAAAGTAAGCATGCATCAGACAAGGATTTTCCATTTAAAGACACCAGCAGATCATAATTGAAGAAATAGAGTTAAAGGGAAAAAAGGTAAAGAAAGAACTTCCAGTGAGAACCAAAGGTACTTCTAAGCTTCTGCAAATTGCATTGCCTGGGCAAAAAGAAAAGTGGGTAAGGGAAGTTCATGGGAGGGGTGAGTTTTGTAATGTTACTGGGAAAAAATTGCAAAACTTCCACTGAGCAGGTGAGGTCCTATGGTCAGCTGGATGCAACTCGGTCTATCAATATGGTCATCGATAGCAACCTTCAATAAGATTAATGTCGAATTCTCCATCATTAGTCTCTCAGTTTACATGCCTTGGATTATTTCAGAAGAGGACACAAACAAAAGCTAAGCTGCCACCATCCCAACAAAGTACCCAGCGAAAGCTCCATAGCTCACAAAAATTGGCCAGTCTTACAAACAACTTCAAATCATCTCAGTATCAGGGTACAAAGCATAACAAACTGAACAACAAGCTGCAAACCAAGGCTGAATGACATCCAACATTCAGAATCTAATTGCCGAGCTCAAACATACATGGTCAACTACATTTACCAAAACCATTGCAACTAACCTGTCCTAGGAGATTATACTTGGAACAGTAGATCAACACATCACTACATCGCGGAATTATCAGAACCACATCAGGACTACTATGTAAACCCTCATCATCTCTCTGGTGCTTTTCAAGGCACAATTTCACATGCAAGGTGTAATATTTGTACTAGGACAATGTTAATATGGCATCTTTACATGAAAAGGCAAAGTGAACAAATATATCAGAGCCAACACAACAATCTAAGCATGAAAGCTAAGCATCAATTGTTGAATTGTTAACTCAGAACCCTGACTATATCATACTGCTGCATTAACATATCAAGTTCCATACTTTGTGTCAATTTAGAGAATGTAACAAGAGAACATCATTTCAAAGATTTTTTGGCCATGTGATGGTAGACCTCAGGTAACTCTTGAAGTTGTCAGTTATTTCTGAGCCACTCTTACTACTAAGTTCTTGACGAAACCAACTGTTCATGTACACAGTAAGAAAGAAAAAAGAGAATTGAAACCTGCCACCTTTTGCCAACTTCATTCGGCTACAGTTTCAAATGTTACAAACTTCAATATGTATCCAGAAACGAATAACTGTTTCAAGTTTCGCTCTGCAACCAATACTTGAATTTTACTGGACAATTTTAAAGTTCTTTGGAAAAAAGCCTGTACTAGATCAAGTTTTGTCTTTAAAGTGGTAAAAAATCACATAGAATATCCAGATGAATTATGTAGATAAAAGGAATGCATAACTCATATAAGTCTCAAATGACCAGGATTAGATAGGAAGGTAAGCCTACCTGCCATGGTCTTTCCCAGCCAAGTGGCATTGGTTAAGCGCCAAACCAAGCTCCAATGACAGCTCCATGAGCAGGTAGACAGATCATGTACTCTACAGGTCCACTTGGCCTAACAAAAAGTTACGAAGAATTGCAGAAGTCGAATAACATGAGTATTACTTGTCAATGCTAGAACAACAAAAAGGGAATGAAGTCAGGAAAATTATAAAAAAAAAAAAACCAACAAAATCACATTATTCTCATACGCCTACTTTGTGTGAGCAAATATCCAGTGCCAGGAAGCCCAAGGAGAACCAAACAGAGAAGCCGCTGGGACACACTGTCAACAGCAGAAGAAGTTTTCCGGACCAGGAAATGACTGATTAAGATCTTTATTGCACAGAGGAAAATTTGATGGTTATCTATGATTACTTACAAAATTAAGCAAATTTTACATCAAGTTACTAATTTCCAGCACAGATTTCCCACCTAGCCCATTTGATCCAGGGGTTCACTGAAGCATGAGAGGCAGCATGGCAAATGAGACGTCATATGAAATCCTAACAGTAAGTGCTGACATCAGAAGAGACCAGTAGAGGTCCTGTTGAAGTTCCTGTAATTAACCACAGAATAAAACCTCTGATCCAGGACACGATAAAAACTGTGAAAATTATCTCAATTTGTTCCACAAAATAGTTGTGAAGTGTCAAAATAACTCCTGAACTATAATTTCCCAAAAAAAAGAACTCCATTTCATGCTTGCTACTCAGGATGTGTATTATTCTGCACGTCTATTTGATCATAGTAATGGTTACTATTATTCAGCCATTTCAGTGACAAGATATTCTACGATTTGCTATACTCCGTAACCTGGAAGAGCTGTGCTGTACCATGGGATAGAATAGAACAGAGACCATTTTGTCCAACCTGAAATTTAACCTCTAGTTCTCAAAATCATCATAAATAGACTGGAAATAACCAGATAAGTCACATACTGAATCATGGGTGCTCCCAATGCTATAGCTCCAAGTGCATTCACTACCTCCCCTATAAATTTGCTTTCAAAAACCAACATACTTAGAATCCAATACAATGAAAAAGACAAAAAAAATAAAAAAAAAAATGTTAAGCAAGCATTGGCAGACGAACATTCAGCTATAAAGCTATTATACCACTAGTGCAGGCAAAGTATTGAAACAGAAGATAGAAAGTTGAGTAAGAATGAGTCCTCAAGTAACATCCTTGTTCTGTATTCAAAAAAGCACCATCTTTTTACAGGTACAGGTGCTAAACTGTGCTAACGCAAGTCTTTTCAACCTGCAAATTACTACTAAAAGATACTTCTCAAAGCCTTCAACTTTATCTTTTACTTGTACATCATTAACCTTCAAAAACCCAAATCACTTCATAAATTTTTCAAAAATAACAAGAAATAAAAATAAAGAGCACAGAGCAATTAAAGATTGCAACTTTTGAAATCCCACCCATATAACCAAAAAGTTTAAGTGATAAAAGTTAATTAAATTATATATTTAAATTTAAAAAAAACAATGAACGACTAACCCTCAGGTAGTGCTAATAAACCTCGTACGACAGCTTTCAAGTACTGTCAATTACACATATTAAAACCTCGTTTAATATGTTAAAAAGAAGAGATTAACATATAAAATTCACCAACAAAAAAAAAAAATTAACCAGAAAAGGAAATGGGATTAATTGGAATTACAAAGCATTGATTTGGACGATTTCAAAAGAGACAGTACAGCAGAATCACGACTGGATCTTCAATAACCTTCAAAAAAACAAACCAAAAATTGAGAGAGAGAGAGAGAGAGAGAGAAGAGTCAATGTTTTGAAGAACCTTCAAAGGGGTAATTTCAGATACCTCCGTTGAGATTTCTAACAATTTCACTGGCCTTCCCTAAAATTTGTAAAATTCATAAACCTCCCTGAGATGAATAGTAAAGAGATGAATTATTCATTCCCTAAAATTCATAAATCATAGCAAACATCATGTGTTAAAAGAGAGGAATAGTCTGTTTTATTAAATCTTGTGATCATTAGTATTATTTTATTATTTATTTATGTTATTTAATTTATTAAATATAAATTTTTTGAATAGTAAAATATGTATATTAATTATTTTTAATTTTTAATTATTTTTTTTCTTTTACTACTATAACTTATATATATGCATAAGCGGTATTTATAAAATAAAAGTTTCATCTCCATCCTTAAAATACTTTCTTAATGTTACTTTTTTTAATTGAACTAATTTTGTTATCAAAATTTTAATCTTATGGGAGATTTGTATAATTTTACAAACTTTAGAAAAGTCTAGTAAAATTATTAAAAATTTTAGGAGAGGTTTATGAAATTATCCCACCTACAAAAATCAAACCAATAATTAAAAGAGAAAGACAGCGTCAATGCTCCCAAGAAACAGAAGAACTAAAAGGAGAGAGAGGTCCAACATTATCCCCAAAGGAATCATGTTAGTAAATTGGTTACGTCAAAATTCGACTCCAATTCGAGGTCCAACATATTGAAACCTAACGTTAACCCAGAAGCCACTCCGTTTTATTTATATATATATATATATATGTGTATATATATATAATATTCGTAATATTTTATAATATATTAATTAAAAATTATTATTTTATTCATTTTTTAAAAAATAAAATTAATATTTTTTATTTTTTTAAAATCAAGAAGACTTGAGATCGAGTTCAACTCAACTCGAATTTGAAGTCGAGCTCGAACTCGATCTTTATATTGAGAATTCATCAAGTTTGAGATCGAGTCCGAATTTGATAAAATTAAGTCGAAACTTAATTTGATTAGATCCAAAATTCCACTCAACTCATCTTGTTTGCAAATTTACCATTACAAATTGTTAGTTAGCCTTCAATTTGAATGGTTGACCAAACCCTCAAATTCTCAAACTCATGACTTAATCCACGACCGCTGATAAGGGAACTCGAATGGAAATTTCGGCCAAAATGAAGTACATTGAATAATACTACTATTCTCATCAATTCCTTGAAATTGTCCTAAGTTGAAGTTGAAAAAGATGGATAAACGTGGCAATACCTCTATGACCTTTTTTTTCCGATTAGAAAATCAACTACATTGTTGAGCAAAACCTTCCAAGAAAAAGAATATAAAAATGAACACAACGCTTATCACCACCTTGAGATATTTTAGACATAGATTAGATCACATCCATCACTCTTTCACCTTTTCTTTGCCATAGATCCAACACAACACACCCATTTAACCACAACAAATCAAGAGATCCAGCACATACCATAGCATCATAAGATAGTTCTAATTCTAAATTTCTATCTTTCTAGCAGCAAAGACAGGCACATATAACGTTTGGACTTTTGAAACATCAAAATATACATTAATTAAGATAACAGAAATTAATCCTTCTTAATGACGTTTTCACATGAACAATTTTAAGCTAACCATGATGTTAGTATTATATCACCAATAACACTTAGACAAACAAGGGATTTTTCACCAAAAAATCTCTACGTTTTCCGTGAACATATTTTTCAATCACCTTTTTACCTTACATATATCAAATCGCAGCAATCTCAAAAACAAATAATAGAAAAACCCATCAAAAGATTCCATAGATCTGCTTGGATCTTTAACAAATTCATCAAATATCTAAAAGCACATGCAGTTTCCTCATTGCTACTGTGTTTTGACCTGTAAAGCCGTATAAGTAAGACCGCGTTTGAGCCTTCTCTGACCGAAAAGACACGAAAAAAAGAAGGGGGTTGACACTTGACCGTTATTCCAGTTAACACATTAGAGTACTATACTTTGTATGCCTTCGAAGAAACGCGCCTCTTGTATTCTTTAAGAAATAAATCCACCACACATATTGGCAAGCCCACCCCGCAAGTTGTTGTCCAAAACCCTAATTGTCTGTGATTTCCTTTCATTACTATACATAATTAATTCAAGAAAAAATTGCAACAAAGTAAGCCCAGTCAAAAAAAAAAACATATATATATATATATATATATATGGTATTGATATTGGTTTATTTTCCCTCCTGATAAATACCCCTGAAAATTAATCCAAGCACCTGAAGGATTTGGGCAGTTGCAAAATTTTGTGCATTCTGCATTAGCCCTTTTCGTTTCTTCACTTTGTACATCAAGGAAACAAAAGCAATCCTGAGAAGCAATTGAAACAGAGAAGAAAGGAGAAGAATATTGTTGAGTGAAGCAAACGAATGGAGGAAAGAAATACTACTAACAAAGAAGAAGAAGGTTGAAGGAAATCTTGCGCAGCAGAGGATCATCATGTTGGAGAACAAATATGGAGATGGGGTGGCATGGAAAAGAGGTGCAATGCTAGGGAAAGGAAGCTTTGGGTCTGTCTATTTAGCAACTTTGAAGAAGCCCAGATCAAAATATAGTTGTTTGCCATCGGTTATGGCTGTGAAATCAGCTGAGGTTTCTGTTTCAGGTTCAATTCAGAAAGAACGCGAAGTTTTGAGTAATGTCAAAGGTTGTCCTAACATAATTCAATGCTTTGGTGAAGAGACTACCACGGGGGTGAATGGTGTCATGGTTTTTAATTTGTTGCTCGAATATGGCTCAGGTGGAACCCTAGCCGAAAAGATCAAGAAATCAGGGGGCAAGGGATTGCCTGAATTTGAGGTAAGGTGTTATACTAGGTCTATCCTCAAAGGGTTGAATTTCATTCATGAGATTGGTTATGTTCATTGTGATTTGAAGCCTGAGAATATTTTGCTTGTGCACAACAATGCTGGAGGTGGGAGAGCTGGATTCAGGGCAAAGATAGGTGATTTTGGGTTGGCTAAGAGGGTTAAACAGTGTAAGAAGAGGAAATTAGAGCCTTACTGGAGGGGAACGCCTACCTATTTGTCACCTGAGGTTGTGGGAGATGGTGTACAAGAGCAACCTAGCGATATTTGGGCTCTCGGATGTATTGTCTTAGAGATGTTGACGGGAAAACCCCTATGGGATGCAAAAGAGGAGCCGAATGCTGAGGATATTCTGAAAAGGATCAAGAATGAATTGCCTCAGATTCCTAGTGAATTGTCTAAGGAGGCAAAGGATTTTCTGAAAGGCTGTTTTGTGAAGAAGGCCATGTATAGGTTGACAGCTGAGATGTTGCTGAATCATGCGTTTATGGAAGGATTGGTTGATGGTGATGATGATGTTGAAGAAATTATCGAGGTTGAAGATATTAATGGGATTGAGTCTATACTGGTAGTATCTGAAACTGATGATGATGAGGTCATTTGTGGCTATGTCTCTGATGAGTGGAGCTTTGCATCAGAAGATTGTTCAATATCTTATTGGTCTGAAGGAGATGAAGGGGAGATTGAGGATGAAATTGTATCTCAAATCAGTGAAGAGCAGAAACTGGATTTAGAACAAAGTAACGGCGTAATAAGCTCCACTGAAGAGGCTGGACTTGATCATGCTACTGAAGCATCATTGCAAATTCCCTTACCGATCCCGCCAAGCACTACACAGCAATATCCAGTTAGTTTTAGGATTCCTGCCGGAGTCTAGGAACATTATGGATTGATACAGAGTCCAATTTTGTAGCTAGTGTTCTTTCTGATTATTTTTAGTCAGTACTTGCTGTATCAATTACCGATATACTAAAATATATTGAATTAATTCTTTTTCAAATTCCTTGCTGTCAAAGTACGGTACAAGTTTCAATTACACTCCATTATCATAATAGTCATGTCCAGAAGAAATTTCAGATCACAGCGGTTTGGCCGGTGATATGATCATACTTTGCCCTTGTGGAACTTTTGGAACTCCTTTTACTGGCTCACATTCATTGGCTTCATTATACCTTGTTCATGTATATCTGAAGTTTTGTCATAAATAAGTTGCATTTGCTTTAACTTGTGTTAAAAATGCATCGGGAAGAAATTGAGGTTTCTTACGCATCTTCTTGTAGCTAAGAGTTTTTCCATCAAAGTTTAAAATCTTCAAATCCTGCCTTCAGCTTATTAGAAAAAGAATTGCTGGCATGGGTGTTGAGGCGAGTTTGCATAGAGGAGTTATTACACGAAAGTCAGAAACCTGATGTGTCCTGGTATACAAAACTCTTCTAGTCCATGGTAATAGGCTAAATATTGAGATCCTTATTAACTGGTCTATAGCAGCTGCAATTGCGCTAGTAATCATACTTAGTTGGACTTTCTTTATCAGCTAACCGTCTACACTGGACATTCTAGCTTCTTTAATCTGGTCAAAACTTCAACTTGATCTACCAGTATGTATGTTTGTTGTATGATCCCAACTGTTTAGGAAACTTAGGTGAGTTAAGACTTTTCATTACTTAAAAACAAGCTTCCGTCAAGACAGATACCTCATTGTAAGGGAATCTACAAATTTTCATGATTGTTCCAGAATAATCTTAGTCTCTATAAGTTACAAGAGATCGACAGACATCACGAACGCCTGCTTTCAAGTACTGTCATAGTCCTTGTGATATACTCCGCTTGCTTCATTCATCTG